AGAATTATTTTGATCTTTACAATCATGGATGGATCGAGAGGTGCTAGAGGATGCATACACACCTAAAAATTTTACATTCCATTTTTTTTTTATTGATTTTATAACTTCACACTCCCTAAAATTTTTAATATATCTTCTTAAGTTCGCACCCCCTAACATAAATTCCTGCGTCCATACATGACAACCATTATTATTGAGATAAACTTGTTTCTTTAGTAAGCCTGATTACATACATATTATTATATATACATATATTCACTTATTCAGGCAGGAATGAAGTTAGAATATCAACTTCTTAAAGGGGACAAAGTATAATTATAGATAAATATTAAGAGGAACAAAATGAAACTAAACTAAAATTAGAAAGTGACCCCTTGAACGCAGCGTGACTCCGTCCCTGAATTCAACGGGGGGATTCTCGGCTACACCCCGATAAGAACAAGAGGGAGGTAACCATTCGAGGATAGTATTGTGATCACCAATCCGTAAGGCGCTTCAAGCCTTATCAAACAGCAATAGAAAACGGACAGGGGGGGGCACGATTCCGGCTACACCCTGATAAGAACAAGAGGGAGATAACCCAATCGAGGATAGTATTGTGATCACCAATCCATAAGGCACTTCAAGCCTTCTCAAACAGCAGAGGGAGGTATGCCTAGAAAAAGTAGAGATGCTAAACAGCTAAAACCTAACCATAAATAAACATAGAGGGATGGTGCCTGAATCCCAACACTTCAACTCTGAGCAAAGGGCCAGCAAAACAAGGATCCAACCAACAATAAAATACCTCTTAACTCAAAAATTTTCCAACTTGAAAAAGTGAAGAAACATACAGCAGGAGAAGAAAAGTTGACCAATGAATTTTAATGGAATTGAAAATTGATACTTTTTACTCCATTATCAAGATGAAAGTACAATAATCCAAATCAAAATTTGCACCAGGCTACTACGAGTACATAATCAATCATAATATAATCTTCTTTAGAACTTTGACAAACTCTAAATCCCTGAGAGATTGCCATGCAGAAACTCGAAACATTCTCAACAGGATGATATCAATGGATTTTTATCTCCAAACATATGATATCTCTTGCATAGTTTCTCCAGAGTCCCAACCGAATGCTGCATCTTGTTTAGTTTTACATCCATGAACATTGCCTGTAAAAATCAAAGCATCAATAAGCAAAACTACCATCTATAAGAGTTACTGAAATACTACTGGAAATACAAATATATGAAAGCGTAACACCATCAAACCTGGTAGTCATCACTGTATTTCTCAACAAGCCGGCCAATATGATGACGTTGCATACTGGTCAGTGGCTGTAAATGTGTGCTTCTTCCATCTCTTCGCTTCTTCCCCAGAGCAGTTTTTAAGTCTAAAATGCAAAAGAATAGAGTATGCTAAAATATTCATTTGAGAACAAAAAAGGGAATACGACTTCTGCATCACCAGTTGTTATCAATTTGAACCTAATAATAACATTATAAAGTAGAATGATCAAATTATAGCAAATTAAAGTAGGGATTAAACACCAAACTTTAGCATACTAAAGCAGGAAGACCTAAAGTTCACCGGTATATTTCTATGAAGCAATGAATAGAGACTTACAATTTCATGACAGAATCGATGGAGCAATTGAAAAGGCTTGCAGTTTCATAATAGGATCAGATTCATTGGATAACTTCTTTTACATCTAAAGGAACCGTACTTAATTCAAATTGAGCTAAAAAAAACCTCAAAATTGAACCGAATAAACAGCAGAGAAGTGAAGGGGGGGGGGAGGAGGACTGACCATCTTCTTCGAGATCGCTTCCGGAATCAATGGGATCGAATTCATCAGTCGGTTCATCGGACGGCGGGGGATGAGGGACTTGGAGGGAATCGCTTTCCACGATGTGAGAAGTACGAGAACGGACGCCGAGGAAGTTAGGGCTAGAAACGACGCCGAAGGACTTGTAGGTCTGGATGACGGTGGCTTGGTCGTCCCACTTGGAGAGGGCATCGTCGACCTCGGCGAGGGCGCGGAGCTTCGGAGGAAGGCTGAAGCATGGCTTGAAGACGTGAGGGTTCTTCCTCGGGAGACCCACTTTGACCTTGGCGCGAGATTGTTTGTATTTCCTTCTCGACCTCCCCATTGGATCTTCGTCTCTCAGAATTGTTGGTTAGGGTTTTTTGCAGGGTTTTATTTCAATCTCAGAGATGAATTGAGAGGGCTCTTAAACGACGCTGTTTTACGACTGAGAGATAAACGTGGGCTTCTTAGTTTGGGCTTATGCTTGTAGTTGAGAAAATAGATGCTATTTGTAGGGTTTAATATATTGTTTGTTATCTGAATTTATTAATTTTCGGTTAAACCATACATTTAGTATTTAAATTATTATTATTATTATTATTATTTTAATATTTTAATATTATTTTTTATAATTATACTTAGTTTTAATTTTGGTTTTATTTTAGTACATATCGTTAAAAAATTAACAGAATTGTTGACGTGACATTTTTTATTTTTTCAATGATGTCGTGACATATATCTTATGGTGACATATCAACATCATTTTTAAATTTTTAACGGCAGAATATCAAAATGAAACTTAAACAAAATGTAAGTGTGATTTTGAAAACAAATAAAGTTTAGGTGCCAAAACAGAATAAAAGTAATAATTTAAGTATTAAACGTGTAGTTTACCCTAATTTTTTAATGTGTTTTTAGTTAATTTGATATCTAAATTTGTTAATTTCCTTTACAATATACCTTTATTTTTATTTTAATAAAAATTAAAGTTCATATTTTGAATCAGACTTAGTCTAATATAGAATCTATTAATATCATACGGAATCTCAAACTTATTTCGATTTAATCCAGTCCATGAGCATTTTTAACATTTGGTTTATTATACAAATTAGCAATCAAAATTTTCAGTTTTTTCAAATTAATATATAAAATTTCAATCTCAAATTGATATTTTTAATTTTTTTCAACATTAAATTGACACGTAATGTTAATGTAACAATTAATATTTTGTTGTACCAATAATTAGTTAGTCTAGTGGGATGAGGCACTAAATCCTTTAAGTAAGGTTAGGATTCGAATCCTGACGATTGTGAATTGCGTAAATTGGATTAGGAGGGTCGCCCTCGCCTCTACAGTATCCGATCCGGATTAGTCGATCAATAGATTGAAAAAAATAAATTTCAAATGAGTAAAATTTTTCTCTAAAAAACTAGTTTTTTTTTCTATATGTGGTACACCACTCGTCCCTTTCTTTTTATCTTTGTTGATCGATCACAACATCAATGTTAATATTAGTTATTGATCGTTAATATTTTTTTATTTCATATCTTTAATTTTCTTTAATTTTTTAATTTTAATAACTTTATTTTTATAATATGTTTATCTATGTCTTTATGACACGTTTTCTCTCTGTCTTTTAGTATGTTTTTGGTTGTTTGACTGTTTATTTTTTAATCTTTTCCTTATATATTCCTTATGTGATCTTAAGAGACTAATTTTATGTCAATGATTATAGAAAAATGCCTTTATTATACGTATAGTTTACGGTTATAATTATAAGTATTCATTGAAATTTGATATATTTCCTTTTTTTCAAAAAGAAAATAACGGTCTCTATAAAAAGACATCAAAAGAGGAAAATTGTGAAAAATATAATGTATAAAATTTAAAATTAGATAAAAATAAAATGTGGGGTTAAAAATTGATAATGTTAACTTTTTTCATAACATTTTCGGTTGGCAATCGAAAATGTTACATTCTTCATAATATTTTCGGTTCAACAAAAATTGTTAGAAAAAAATTAACATCTTAGGTGCGCTCAACCAAAAATGTTATATTTTTTATAACATTTTCGGTTGCGTCCATTCCCTAACATTCCTTAGACTTAATTAGGCTGTCGTACAAGAATTATCCACTTTAGGGGTACTTGACTAATAGGTTATCTGCTAACAATGAGGTAATCTTATTCATTTTTCTCCTTTCCATTCTGGGTTTGGAATTTCTTTTGATACTTCCCGAATTGTCCTAGTTCTTTGTCTCTTTCCACGTGAGTTTTCATGATCTCTTCTTTGTGTGATAATGATTAGGGTGCTTTGTCTGGGATTGTTACATTAGCAATTGCCTCTTTTGGCTACATGCTGCCTTGAATTGTGATTACAGTGATATTACCCCATTCTAAGAATGCAAAGGTCAATCTTGAACCAGACGGAGTCTTCACTTTCTCTGCTAATGCAGAACTTGACAATAACCTCTATGACTTGAAGTTGGTGGATCTTCACGATAAGGTTAATGTGGAGGTCAGCTAATTGTTGTATGTATTACTTATGAAACGTTTTCCTCATTTTTCTATGGGATTTTTGGGTTTAGAATTTCGATTAATTTGCGTTTACCGGTTCTTTCCTTGCATTAAACAAACAGGAAAGCAAAATAAATATTGGGGCGAGGGTCCCTGTGATTACCCTGTCTTTGCTAGTTGTTAAGCTTTCATTTATTTGTAGCGGCAGATAGCGACACCGACAAGTCTGAAGGAGATGCTAAGGTGGAGAAGACCTTGGAGATAAAAGAACCTGTACCAAGCGCATGAGCCGAAGAATGGTACTGAAACTCGGTAAACCTATGTCTCTGTCAGGCCTTAATTAGGATGGTTTCTACATGTACCTTGGAAATATTTGCTCGATGGAGACAAAAATATCTGCATTTCATCTTATTCCCTAAAAAATTGCTAATTTTTGGCATGACACTCTCCGCCATGACCCCTCTAAGTATTTAAGCCTTTTCCAGTGAGTGAATATGGTTGAAGTTGGATTTTTGGAAAGTTTTTCCCTCCAGAACTTGTATATTGTTTAAATATGATGTTCGTTCCACCATTTGGAACCAATTTTCCCATGGAGTTTATATCACAAATGTGAAGCCCTGTTAGCTTGATTTCTAGACTAAGTTCAATACACTAGTAAATGAGTATCGGCATCGTAAGAGGCCAAGAAAAGAAGATTTTTTAATTTAGCACATGCTCCTAACAGTAAATCCTCTTACAAGCTATATCCACAGTAAGATAAAAGGGAAAGAAGTTAAAATGACAAACCACAATAAATGGTCCTTAACCGAGTTCTGCAATTCATCGTAATATCTGGCACTTAATGCAACTGGTCTTAGTCTTAACCCGCCGGAAGAACTCAGCTTGTGTCACTTGTAATAACATTAATAGTAACTTCACCCCAGAATAACGCAGCATCACCTCACCTCAACCCCGACCTTGACCACCACCTGCACCAGAATGAAAATAGCATACCATTAGTATGATTTTGTTAATTGTTAAGCTAGCTATGAAAAAATATTATTCAATTGTCATTTAAGCTACGAAGCCATTTTGCAAAGAATGCAAGAACATTATGCAGCTGATATTTAAGCAGTTTTTACCTCTGCTACCACTAGGCTTTCCACCTGGAGCACCCCGGCCTCGGCCTGCACCCTTAGCAATGTCGTCTAGCCCACGCCCAACTCCTATTGGTTGCCTCCCACTGGAACCATCTTCTCTACCTCTACCTCTTCCACGGCCTACACCAGGAGGCTTCCTATCTGAAAAGACCAGCAAAATCAGAGAGCCAGGTTAAAAAACACCAGTTCAGATGCAAACATAATGGAATCAACCTCGAGAGCAACACGGTTGGGACTCAATCAGAACTAATAGAAATGTAACAGAAAACAAAAGAAAGAGGGGGAAACTACAGATTGTACATGGGATGATCACATTAGTTCCAGCATACAACTATTCTAGTACAACTTAATCTGATGCACTTGAGAGAATACAGCATATTTTTAAAGCAGCCTTCTTGAACTCAAATGAATATAATGAATGATCCATCATCGCTTTTAAAAGCTAGCAAGAGAATTAAATCATACCTGCACGACTCTTTTCTTCCTGAACTTTATCAATGACCTGGAATTCAATATTAAAATCGTAAGTTTAGTAGATTCGAGAAATAAGCTAATAAAACGATTAGAGGGCAGCACTAAAAGTAGAACCTATAATAAAAACGAAGCTACAAAATTTACGTGGAGTCTAAAATTTGGCATGTGGAACACAAAGGTGATCAAGTAAGACCTAAACTTCGTCATTCTTGAGGATGAAAGACATTTTAATTCTTTAAAAAAAAGTCCTTACCTAGTTAAGGGTAAAAAAATAACACTCTTTTTAACACCACAAAAGTTCGGCAGTTTTGCAGTACGACGGGAAACCTAAGGTTAATTTGCGGCAGGGTTTATCCTAAAATGTTACTATGTCTACTCTAAAAAGTTATATAATCGATAATAATTTCACTTACAACTGAGAGTGTTACATTGTATATTAACCGGCTGCATTTTAGACTCCCCACAAGAGCTTCTTCAACAAAAAATAGCTAAAATTTAACTACATTATGCATCATGAAGGCAACTAAGAAACCTTCATAAAGTTTAACAGAGTCAATAAAACTAAGGCCACAAATAATCTTACTTACACAAAGTAAATAAAATAAACGACAACATATACAAGAGCAGCAGTACCTCATCGGGGACTCGAAGATACTTGATTGTATTTCCTCGGATATAGCATTCAGGCATTCGCCAAAACCTGTCTCCGTCCTACAATATAATCTCAATTGAACCCAGCCACAGTTTTAAAAACTAGAAAAGAACACAAACCAACACAGCATTACTCCTTGACACCTAGAGAGGGAAAAAAATACAGAATGGATTAACAGTTATACCTTTGAAGTACAAATAACTTCACGAAGATGGATGTTCATCCAAGTGTCACAATTGACCAAATGTCCATTATAGGTCTCCCCATTTTTTAGCTCCACCAGCTGTTAGTGAAAGAAAAAAAGATCAACAAATGAAGCAAAACTTTGCAGGGTAAGTTGAGAAGAGTCAAGCAAGGGAAATAATGGTGTTACCATAGGATGACCCTGAGCTGTTTTCAGTAGAGAAAGAGGAAGCTGCCCAACCAAATATACATAATAAAATATAAAAAATAAAGCATTACGGAGAAACCAAAATTAACCCCAAAAAAAACCATTGGCATCATAAAGAAAGTTGTTTTCTTTTTCATTCTCTATTTTCCCCAGTTTTCCAGGGGGTTTCTAAGCAACCAAACAGACAAGAAACAAATTGGGTTAAAGGGAATAACATACCATCTTTTGTACCGGGAATGAAGAGGAAAACTGGCGAAGAACGGAACGTGCCTGCGAGAAAAGAAAAAGCGAAAATCGAAGGGTCAAAAAGAGAAGGCCTTTGGAATTGAGTCTTGTCCAGGGTAGATCAATTCCTAAAAAGAAACAATGGAATCAATGGGCTTAAAACCCTATAGACGAGAGGGAAGGTAAATCGAGAAGAAGGGAAGGCGTCAGCAGGAATATATTTGAGATCTCCAACTATAGTTTTATTATTATTTTTTTTTAAATAAACTACTTAACTATTACTTTTATTTCATTTGTCCTAAATAATTTTTAAAATCATACGTAATGTTATATTTTTATTTTATTTTAGTCATCTATCTTAAAACATTAACATAAATGCTGACGAGGTAATTTTTTAGAAAAAAAATTAATAATAATATGACATTATCTTATGGTTACACGTCAGTATCACTGTTAATTTTTTAACGATGAGTGATCAAAATGAAATCAAAATTAAACATTAAGTATGATTTAAAAAAATAAATTGTTGGGTGATCGAAATAAAATAAAAGTGATAGTTAAAATACTAAATGTGTAGTTTATCTTTTTATCAATATTATTTGTTATGTGATTTTTTTATATAAATAAATAAATATTATATTTAGAGTTTAATCTTATGTTATTAAATCTCATAAATTTAACTTAGTGCTTATAAAAAAAACAAATGTAGGTAAAATATTTTAACCCGGATAAACAGAATAGAGAATAACCAAGCATCAAGAACTTTGAAGGGATCACCAAGATAGCTCTCTACAGATTATCGACAACATAGCCAGAGATTCCTGCATGAAAGAAATAGAAGTAAACGAGCATACATCGCTTCAGATAACTATCGGAAATACTAACGAAGAGCTATGTTGCACTCATACGGATACGAGGACGAGAAACGATAATTTTTAAAATTACAGGTTACCGGGACGGTAAAGGTACGGCATATAACTATTTTTAAAATTATAAATATATATAAAAAATCATAAATAAAGTCAAATATCAAGACTCAAACAACAATATTAAGTTTAGAACAATAAAATCCATAAACAAGCCACAATATTAAAATGTCAAATTTCAAGATTCAAACTATAATATTAACTCTAGAATAATGAAATCCATAATAAAATCATAATATTAAAGTGTTAAATCTTACAATTCAAACCATAATATTAAATCTAGAAAACATAATGATTAATCTCAAATGCAGATCCATAGGAATTTACAACAAATAGATCTAATGAACAACACTGCAACAAATACAACGAAATAATGTTCAATGCAATGAAGAAACTCACATAAATGTCTTTCAACTTCCTATACTCAATTTGACCAATGAGATATAAGACACTTTCCAACAATAAATATCTTACCTTTAATCGCTTTGCAGCATCTAAAAAGATTACTTCCTGAAAAGGATTAAAATATCATCTTTTAAGGTACGTTTGGTTCATGAAATGTAAGATTATCAGTGGGAATAAAATATTACCAGGGAATAGGATTACTGGAAATGTTACATTACTGTGTTTGGTTGGTTTGGCAGGAATGTAAAATTACAGTGTTTGGTTGAATGAATAAAAGATTACTGGAATGTATATTTTACCAAAATGTCCATGTTCTATATTTTTTAACAAATGAAATTCTAAATATTTAAATAAAAATTATTTTATTTAAATATTCTATTTGTTGATAATATATTACTTGAGTATTTAAATATATCATATATTATTTTTATTTTAATTAATATTAAATTTTATATAATTTATGTAAAAATATATTAAAATTTTACATCAACATTTAACTAAATGTTTAAATTGTGAAAATTAGTTTTGATTCATACGTGAAATATTCACTGGGAGGTTTCTTTTATTTTTCAATCGACAAGGTTTACATTCTAAATAGGTGAATCGCCGACGGCCAACAAAACCACTTTATTTTTACTAATAATAGGTCTGTAAACGAACCGAATGCACACGAACGGATGTATGTTCATATTCGTTCATTTAATAAATAAACGAACAAATTTTTTTTTGTTCGTTCATTAAGGAATATAGCTTGTTCATGTTCGTTCATTAAATGAACATAAACGAACACGAACGAACGAACGTAAACGAACACAATAAACGAACATAAACGAACAACACAAACACACAAAAAAACCTTATTCGAACACAACAAACGAATGTAAAAAAAAGTAAACAACAAGAATAACAACTTAAAATTCATTAATATAACTTGTAACTTTAGAGTTAATTTGTTTGAATACAACAAAAGCATACATAAATCATAAATAAGTTATATGAACATAATAAAGTCTTAAAGTTAATTTGTTCAACAAAACAATCTTCTTGAAATCCAAACAACTTCAATAATCTTCGTAACATATTCAACTTGCCCTCTGTTCGAACATAAATGAACGAACATATAATCGAACGTTCACGAACGTAAATAAACGAACGAGCCCTTTGTTCATGTTCATTCATTTAATTAAACGAACGCAAAATCTTGTTCATGTTCGTTCATTTAATAAATAAACGAACATAAACCAACTTCCTGCCGCACGGTTCATGAACGGTTCGCTGAACGTTCAGTTCATTTACAGGCCTAATTAATAATGTTAAATATGTGTTTATGAATCATGGAGAATAAAGAATACCCTTTGTTAAAAATCGTAAACAAAAGAACAGTTGGGTTGTTATTTTCCTAGACATTGAGCCAGAAAGTTATGAAAAAGAGAATAATGAAATGAAGAGAAATGAAGCTTAACATGTCCTTGAAAAACATAGTTGTTCTGTTCCAAGATAATGAACATAAGAATCGATTTTATTTCGAAGACATATAGAACTAACCTTGCAAAAAAGAATGATCATACACGAAAAAGGAAAATAAAAAGAATCCATAGCTACCATTTAAAAGATGATGTTAAGTTGCAGGCGATGTTCGAGCCCTTATATGTCCAACCATGGAAACCTGAAGAGCCTCCTCTTCATATGCTCTCCTCGCCAACTCCTCCATTCTTGTTTTCTTCTTAATTTTAACAAACATCGCCACTAAAAGCAACCCCAAAAGGAAAGCCCCCAAAGCAGCTCCGACCGAGCATCCCACCACCAGTTTCCATTGCATCTTCTTCCTCACAGCCAACGACTGTGGCGACTTCACCACCAAACCAAACTGGCCATGCCTGCTTGCCACACAAACGTTGGGTGATACTTGGTTCTTCAATGTTACTTTTCCATTTCCTTCAAAACTATCACACAATGGCAAGAATCCTGTGATGTTGGATGCCTTTGTAACATTGCTGAAATCGATTTTAATAGGTTTGTCAATGGCAAGAATCCCAAGCTCGAAAGGGCTACCAAAACTCAGATCACTGTCGGCATTATAAGCGAGGAGGCCTAATATTGGTGACACCAGCTGGTAACCTGATAGATCATAGTTAGCATAATATATGGATGACCAATTATAACCAAAGTTTTATCTAACTACCATCACTCTCTCCGCACAAGGTTGAACAATCACACCACTTATCTTTAGAAGATCTAAGTTTCATACCAACTTTAACTCTAGTGTCTAAATGTGTAACTCTCAACTTTTGTTATATAATAACTTGGGATCTACCACTAAATACAGGTTTAGCATCCGCTCCAATGTTTGACAACTGTTCCAATTATCTTTAGAGGATCTAAGTTTCATACCCATAAAAATTAATTTTCAACTGGTTTCCCAACATGGTACATCTAGGTCAGGTGACTTATTCTGATTCCTACAACGTTTTGATCACTTAGTTTTAAAAAATGTGCCTCAAGCTACACTACTAATTCAATCCTTTTTGGATAAATCATCTAATTTATCTAAATTTAATTCTAATTCAGCCCTTTAGAGATGAATTAAACATACCAACCAAATTGTAAATTAGGTGCTATCACTCCAAATAGATAATAACAGCAAAAATGAATGATATCGAGGGATATAAGCCAAAGAAACATAGTTATCAAGAAACTGATATCATATGTGAGTTAAAAATACAATAATCGTAAAGTATTCAAATAGGAAAAAAGATTTAGCTCTTCAATGACCTGAACACGGCTCCAAAGCAAAGTAACAGAAGCCTTTGCATGATCTCGGAGGTACACATTTGTCTAAAGTGGTTGCTCAGGGAACTCCATTAGGAGTGTGTCGGTATTTGTGCACATGTTATGGTTGCTGACAATTAGACTCTAAGGCACATCATCATAATATGTACCAGCAGCACCTGCATTATCAGGACAGCCAAAACTTTTTCCTCCTGCAAAAAAAGATGCCAAAGTGAAGATAACAAGATGTTAGAGTTTAGACTACATATTATAGTCAGAATAAATGTTACGGAGAAGAGGGAGCTTTGACACATTATTATAGTCAGATGTTATGGAGAGGAGAGTAGATGTTAGAGTTTAGACTACGTATTATAGAAAGAGTAAATGTTACGGAGAGGAGGGAGCTTTGACACCAAGCAACTTTAGCCTCTCTTCAACATTTAGAATTTAAACTTAAAATTTTGTGAAAATGAATACTAGGAGAAAACCGAAGCAACTGCTATGGTATTTCAAATAATGATCATGTAGGAAAGATATTCAAGCAGAAACCAAACGCATACCATGAATTAAGAAATCTGTATCATCATGCCAACTAAAAACATCAATTGAAATTCTTCCACCACCACCTCCAGCAAATCCATTCCCCCTAGTGGCACTTAACCAGCCACTTCCAGTCCTGTCTTCAGATAAGAAAGTTGTCATTAGGAAACTCATAATCCATTTATTTATGAAAAGTATATGGCAAAGCATTTTATACATGCACTATCAATAGACCATAAAGTAGAATCCTGCAGGTATTAAACATAAGGAAATGGAGGAACATACAACCCATATTTTCCAGTCCTGTATCTTTTTATTGACTTCCATTTCTTTTTAAGAGGAAAAGATGGGTTGTATGTTCCTCCATTTCCTCATGTTTAAACGAGGAACAAAAAACTACGGGAACCGATATTAAACGAGGAAAATCAAAATGATATCAAACAATTGGCGATGATGGAGTGAACAAAGAAAAAGTTAAAAAGAATGAAAGACTAACCGAAGAAAGAGTGAAGGATATGCAGAAACAGCAGAATCTGATAAATTCTAGATCAGAAACAGCACGAAATTCACATGAATGCAAAGTCATCAAATTATAGGAGACAAAAGGATATCCCAAATAAGACCCTTAATTGCCATCATCCCAAAAAGAAAAGAAATACTAACCCTTTTTTTTCTTACAGTGTCAAATAACCAATTCTTAGTGAAAGACAAGGCAGATAAAAAGAGAAAAGCAGGGAGATTGAATGAAAAAGGGACCTTGAATATTAAGCAAGAAAAAAAACCGGGTTGGGAAATTAAGCCAATCCTATTTTTCTTAACCCAAACTCCATCTTCTGTTTCCCAAGGTAAAATTTCTCTCATTGCTGGAAAAATAAATGAAAGGAAATGGAAAAGAAATCTTACCAGGAGAATAATTTTTGACAGAGGAAGCTCACGGGTAGGGTTGTAAAATCAGGTAATCGTTCAGGTTTCAGTCGGATCCTGTCAGGTCGGGTAAAATCGGATACAGATCAAGTCAGGTAAATTTGACACCAGATCCAGATCAGGTTCAGGTCAGGTCATTTTCAGTTCGGATCGATGTCAGTTCAGGTCCGAAGCAGATAAAGACCAGGTTAATTCAGGTTCGGGTGGACTTCAGTCGGATCTCGTTTAGATCGGGTCACATCATTGACAGATAAAATTCAGGTCGGATATTTACCGGATATGGATTGAGTTCATGTCGGGTCGTTTTTATTTTTGGATTAATTATTTTGTCATCTTTCGTGATTGTTGAATTGCAAGTTGTAATTGTATATGATTTCGAGTAAATTAAGAGAAAAATAAATATACATGGATCAATTTTGTAAAAAATATAAATTTAAGGATAAAATTGAAGAAATGTAAAATTACAAATAAAATTTTAAAATATAAATTAAACGACACACATAGGTAAGGGACTAAATCGAAATAAATTTAAAATGTGAGGTTTAAATTAATATAAAAAGGACTAAATTAAACACATTTAAAAAGTTATGGACCAGTTACAAAAATATAAAAAACTACTAACAATGAGCTAAATGAAGATGCAAATATAAATTTAAGGACTAAATTGAATACATATAAAAGTGAAAGACTTAAAATTGAAATAAATTAAAAAAATATTAAATCGAAATAAATGCAAAATGTGAAGAAATAATGAAAAATATAGTAAATTACAATCATTTAAAAAATTAAAAAATATAATATATATATATATATATAATATAAGTTTGTATATAAACTATATATATATATATAAACTATATTTATATTATAAACTATATAATTATTATAAGTTATATATATAAATTATGTTTATATGAACTATATATATAAACTATAAAAAATATATAATTTATAAACTATAATTTATATTAATATAGTATATATATATTATTCAAAGTGAGTGATGGAAGAAAACTATTTAAAATAAATATTTTTTTTGTGTGAAAATTTTTGATTTTATTTGGGAATTTAGAGGGAATTTGAGAATTTAGAGGGAAATTGAAAAACTTAGAGGGAATAGAAAAATTTGGAGGGAAATTGAGAATTGAGATTTTATTTGGAAATATATTTTGGGTTAATTAGGCTCATGCTCCTCCAACAATCATCATTTTTCCACTTGTATTTGATTTTTTATTTCTTTCATTTTAGTCATGGTTTAATTGTAAATATCTTCTTGAATTTTCAATTCGATGCAATTTAATCTTGTATACATTCTAATTACTTTTAGTTTTCTATATATATATATATATATATATATATATGTATGTATGTATGTATGTATATAAACTATATATGTATAAACTATATAAAATATATAGTTTATAAATTATAATTTATATTAATATAGTATATATATGTATGTATAACTAATATAAGTAATCTATAAATTATATATGTATATATTATAGAAACACTATGCATAAACTATATAAAGTAATAAATTATATAGTTTATAAAAACCTTAAACCCTAAACTATATATGTAACTTATAGTACATGTATGTATAAACCATGTATATATATATATATATATATATATATATAAACTATATAAAGTAATAAAATATATAATTTTATAAAAACCCTAAACCTTAAATCATAAACCCTAATATAAATAGACTAGCACTAATGCATATATATTTGTAATAAAAGAGTGGGCTTATGTATTGGGCCTATGTAAACTAATGTAAATGGACTTATTTTTTATTTTTATTATTACTTATTCATAACAACAAAATAAATGAGCTATTAATGTGAATTAACCTAACATGTAACTAAAATATTAATTATGCAGATGAAATTAATATGACATGTACTACTATTTATGAACCATATAATATGCAATGTGACATACTAATTATTTAACACCTAATTAATCATGTTTTATATAATTTATATTTAAATAATTTTATTAATTTTATTAAATAATTTTATATAATATGTATGCATAAACCATGTATAGTATATATAAACTATATATATATATATATATATATATATATATATATATATATATATATATATATATATATATATACTATATAAAGTAAATTACTTATATAGTTTATATAAACACTATGCATAAACTATATAAAGTAATAAAGTATATAGTTTATAGAAACCCTAAATCATAAACATTAAACCTTAAACTTTAAACCATAAACCTTAAACCCTAAACCCTAATATAAATGGACTAGCACTAATGCATATATATTTGTAATAAAAGAGTGGGCTTATGTATTGGGCTTATGTAAATTAATGTAAATGGATTAACTATTGCAAATGGACTTATTTTATGGTTTTATTATTACTTATTCATAACAACAAAATAAATGGGCTATTAATGTGAATTACCTAACATGCAACTAAAATATTAATTATGCAAATGAAATTAATATAACATGTACTACTATTTATGAACCATATAATATGCAATGTGACATACTAGTTATTTAACACCCAATTAATCATGTTTTATATAATTTATATTTTAATAATTTTATTAAATAATTTTATATAATATGTATGTATAAACCATGTATAGTATATATAAACTATATATATATATATAAACTATATAAAGTAAATTACTTATATAGTTTATATAAACACTATGCATAAACTATATAAAGTAATAAAGTATATAGTTTATAAAAACCCTAAACTTTAAACCATACACCCTAAACCCTAATATAAATGGACTAGCACTAATGCATATATATTTGTAATAAAAGAGTGGACTTATGTATTGGGCTTATGTAAACTAATGTAAATGGACTAACTATTGCAAATGGACTTATTTTTTGGTTTTATTATTACTTATTCATAACAACAAAATAAATGGGCTATTGATGTGAATTAACCTAACATGCAACTAAAATATTAATTATGCAAAGGAAATAAATATAACATGTACTACTATTTATGAAACATATAATATGTAATGTGACATACTAATTATTTAACACATAATTAGTCATGTTTTATATAATTTACATTTAAATAATTTTATTAATTTTATTAAATAATTTTATATAATATGTATGTATAAACCATGTATAGTATATATATATATAAAACTATATAAAGTAATAAAGTATATAGTTTTATAGAAATCCTAAACCTTAAATTCTAAATCCTAAACCTTAAATCATAAACCCTAAACTTTAAACCATAAACACTAAATACTAAACTATAAACCCTAAACTTTAAACCATAAACATTAAACACTAAACCCTAAACCCTAATGTAAATAGACTAGCATTAATGCATATATATTTGTAATAAAAGAGTGGGCTTATGTATTGGGCCTATGTAAACTAATGTAAATGGACTAGCACTATTGCAAATGAACTTATTTTTTGGTTTTATTATTACTTATTCATAACAACAAAATAAATGGGCTATTAATGTGAATTAACCTAACATGCAATTAAAATACTAATTATGCAAATGAAATTAATATGACATGTACTACTATTTACGAACCATATAATATGCAATGTGACATACTAATTATTTAACACCCAATTAATCATGTTTTATATAATTTATATTTTAATAATTATTAAATAATTTTATATAATATGTATGTATAAACTATATAAAGTAAATTACTTATATTGTTTATAGAAACACTATGCATAAATTATATAAAGTAATAAAATATATAGTTTATAGAAACCCTAAACCTTAAACCATAAACACTAAACAATAAACCATAAACCCTAATGTAAATGGACTAGCACTAATGCATATATATTTGTAATAAAAGAGTGGGCTTATGTATTGGGCCTATGTAAACTAATGTATTACCAAAATTATTTATATTAATAATGTAAAACGTTAATATATATTACATAATAAATACTTTCATTATTAATATTAATTTTTTCTTTATATAAATTAAACTATATAATTTATATAAATTAAACTATATTAATTTTCATTGTCATTATTAATCATGTTTTATCTAATTTACATTTAAATAATTTTATTATTTTATTAAATAATTTTATATAATATGTCTATTTATTAATTTAATTATCATAATAAATATTTTATTATAACATTTAAAAAGTAATCATATTGATTTTTTAATTACATCATAAACTAAAAAAACTCATAATTTTATTAAAA